CGTAGTATCAAGTATGATAACTCTCCCGTACTGAATGGGCCGTACACACGTTAACGCAACTTATCAGTAAAAACGGTAACAATCACAATAATAAAGAATCTACAAATTGCCTACGCATATCTTAAAAGGAGTTTTTTTTCATTAATCAATTGATTTAAAGAGAACATCCCGGTGCGTCCCCTTTTTAGTTTTTACCTTTTTTATAGACCGAGTGCTTCCGCAGTCTAACCTAACCTACTTTTGATGAACGCACTCGGAACACTAAAAAAAGGTTATTTCGGGACGCACTCRGGAAACTCCCTAATATAATTCTAGATTTAAAGGCAGTGGTTCCAAAACGTTTTATCTTTACCATCCCATTATTCTAAAAATACTAAAAAACACTCGTACAATGTAGTAACGCAACAACTCCCCCCCCCATTAATATTTTAACTTCCATTGCCTCCCTGGACAAATCTAGCGACCCTAAGCGGCTCTATCACCCACTTAAGAAAACACTGGTTTATACTATTCAGTTAAAATTTGAATTTGAGGTAATAATATTCTGTTATTTAAATTATCTATATTGTAACTACCTATTGATTATGATGAACCGCAAGTAATCAAGTCATTTTTTTTTAACCATCCTGTTAACCATCAAAAAACTGATCACTTAAAAAAAACAACAGATTTTGAGTGACGAATATTCTAGGAATTCATACAGAAATTAAGTACCTATTTAAATAATTAAATATACTTCAGTACATATAATTTAAGTAATTTTTTTTAAACTAATTCATAACAACTGTTGTAGAACTTCTTCTTTTAGGTGCCAATAATCAACTACCATGTTCAAGAGAAATAATTAGGTTTACTCAAATAATTTAATTTTTTACAGCTATTTAATTTTGATTAACTAACTATTTAATTCTTATTGCCTTTAACAAATTAATCAATTTCAATACAAATATTACAATATAATTATTAGTTTTTAAATTAAGTTTTAAATTATAAAATATATGCAGCTAAAAATTGTACAAAAACTACATAGAGGTAGTCAAAACTTCTGGCATTATAATAGTGTATGCAACGTTTTGTAGACATTAAATTTAGGAACTGTCTGATAAATAATGATTAATTCGTTCTTCATTGAATTTAGATTTCATTGCATCTTTTTCAATCTTATCCATTATTTCAATATTTAAACTGAAATAGAGGTCAATAAAATTAATTTTAATTACATATATATATATACATAAAAAATAAAATAAAACTAAGTAGGTATATACCCTTGTCGCAATAGTTTCAAATCTTTTGGTTTAATAAATGGAAATCTATGATTTCCTGAATTTAAGTCAAATTTAATAGATTTTAAATATCTTTCTTTCATAGATTGCCATGTACGGTGTCTACATACCTACAAAATTAAAAAAAACATGAATCTTGTTACAAGTTTGAAAACAAATTTTTAAATATACTTATTAGCTTACGTTATCATGTTCCATCTGTTGCCACATTGCTCTCCCTTTAATATCAAAAGCATGATTGTTCTTAATGATATATTTAACAATATTCGTCTCTTCTTTGTGTGTATAAGGCATTCTTGTGCTTCATTAAAAATATTTAAACATTAAACATAAATTATATACAATGTTAAATAAATGCATTATATTTACTGTTTAGATGGGGAAGCAATCTTTGAACRCTTAGCTGACACACTGTAATCAATATCATCGTTGGAGCTAAAATTAAAATAATTTTTGGTCAACAATATGCAAGTAAAATTAAATATATGAATAAKAGAGTTGAGATGATTTATCATTCATGTATTTAGTGATAATAATAAACAAACAAAAAGTTTAAGCATTATAAAATATTTTGATCACAAAATGTTAACTCTTTATTCAGTGTTCTTTAAGTTCTCAACATGCATATAATATAATATTTAATTTAATCATCAATTAAAGTGCAATT